TTTGGTTTCCTTAAATGACATCAGTACAGTTTTATGCTTCCTCTGCCTAAACTATGAGTTCCTAAAAAGGAGGCATTTTGCAATCTTCCTCCTTATAGCTCTTCCATATAACAGGGCAGACATGTTTCATGAACTGAATGAAGTTATCGGATGCCTTAGCCATCAAGTTCTTCCAAGCTAGCTGCCATCACATAAGACCTTTCAGATGAGTCCAAAGACATACCCAGTGGGGATCCTCCCAAATTCTAGGTCACATTAGGCTGCCTTGAGCATCGGCACTGGGGTGTCTCAAGGAAGAGCACTGGACTGGGAAGCAGGACACCTGGGTTCCAGCCCCAGCTAGTCACTCCCTGGCTGTGTGGCCTGAGCCCTCCCCTCTAGCACAATAAGGGATGGGGGTCAGGGAACTGGAGAGTCCCATCCTGGGATGCTGTGATTCCAAGATGCTACAGTTTGAATCCAATCCCACATTTGGCTCTTGCTCCCTATTCCCCAAGGAGCTTCCACCCTGGTTCATCAGGTAGTGGCTCCCACATTAGCTCAGAGTCTGGAACGAATTACAGTAGGAAGGAATCACTTCCGCTACCATCAGGTTGAATGGAAGAAAGGGAGCTTGACAGTCATGGAGAGTATTTCTCAATCTCAGACTGTTAGACAGGAAGGCGTGCCTGTGTATATGTCAATAAATTATTTTCCCCAGGAACAGCAACAGGACAAAACTGGTTTAAAGGACTAGCTACCTAACTTCCCAAAACCTGAAGATCTGGACACCTCTAGACTTCTGCCTCCCCCAACCCCCAGGATGAGGCACCACCTCAAGCTGGAAAGTGATGAGGCTCTAAGATTCATCCCCAAAGGAGAGAAAGAGGCCTTTCCTGAGCCAAGACCAGGACAGATGTCCTCAAAATACTCTCTGTGCTTGGCAGCCTGCTTGTGTCCACATGCATACATGTGGGGGAAGGACAGGAGGGGAGAAGAGTATGCCTGTGGATAAACACCTGAGAGCTAAGAGCCCAGTAGAGACCCAGCCAGTGCTTGTCTTCCCAAGGGCACAAGTCACGGCAGAGACTCTGCTGACAGCCCCCACAGCTCATGGACATGTGACTCTCAGGGCCTGGCTACCAATGGATGCTGTTTGCTGGCCCAGGAGCCCATGACTCTTTGGTGCCCACCTCTAGGTCAGAGTCCTCTTCTGAACAAATCAAGACGCTCTTTTCAAAGCACAGCTGGGCAAGAGGGGCCTCGGGGGTTTAAGCAGTCCTATACTTACCACTCCCTGCCCCACCACGTACCCTTGAGGGGACTGTACCAACCATCCTAGGCCCCAGTTGAGCCACGCCTCCCCAAACAGCCCAACCTGTGGTACTGCCCACCCCACCCAAACCATCTCTGGGATGGTAGTGCCAGTGTCAGTCAAGTCATTTTGAGTTACTGCCAAATCTGAGCAGAGATAAACTTTCCGGGAAAAGAAATTCAATGCAAGGCTGTTGTTCCTTCCAGGCTGACTATATCTTAGGCAAACACCCAGGAGGCCAGAAAAGGGAGTCTCACCACCATGTTCAGTGGAGTTGATGCTGCATGGCCCAAGGGCCAAAAGAAGAGTCCCTGCAGGCCTAAATCCCTGGGAGAACTCACTGGACAACTTGTAAAAATGCTCCAGAAAGGACCACCTTCTCCCCGTCATTCCTGAAGACCTTGCATTAGCCCATAGAGGATCCTGGGGCTGGGCCTACTATGGCTGTAAATAATGCAACCTGCCCTACAGCATGCAGATAGTATAGACAGAGACAGGATTCAAGCCCAAGTCTATCTGAAGTCTATCCCAAGGCTCTGAGAACCCAGACAGATCAGTGACTCATCTAAAGCCCAGTCTGGTGCCTGGCTTCCCCAGGGAAGGGCATGCCCATTTCCCACCATCTAGCGGCCCGGAGGTTATTAGGGCATATGTCCCATACCCCTGGACACCAGAAAGTAGAGCCAAGTTGTGGAAAGGAACTGCAAGTAGTGAAAAGGCCACAGCTCTAAACCCCACGGATGCTTTCTCCCATCAACCTCAAAACCACCCCGCAAAGAGCTTCTGTTGACACCTGTCTAGCTGAACAGATGGGCTGGACTCCCCCCAACCCACACACTCCCAGGGAGACTTTCGGCTTTCTAAAGGCCCCATCCTAGCTAGGAGCAGACCCTCTGAGAGCTGCACCCAACCACTCAAACCCAAAGACTCAATTAAAATGAAAAAAAAAAAAAAACCCTCTACACTCACTTTCTGGGGCTGCCCTAGCAGCAGCCTAAATGTCATTATCCCATGCATGTCACACAAATGCAGCCAAGTTAGAGAAGGCCCAAGGCCTCCCTCGTCACCCTCCAAAATGTTATCTCTCAGGAAGTCCCTTCATGCAGCCAATTCAGAGTCAACTCAGAAACACCAGTAACTGGTCACCCATCACTAGCAACATGATTACAAGATAAAGCAGAAGCAGATCATGATGGCCTTTCATGTTTCATGGAGAAGACCCTATACTTCAAACACCTATGCAGTAAATTTGGGGGCACTTTTCTTTAATTTGCTAATTTCTTTCTGCATAATTTTCTAGGTAACAAAAACAAAAGGACAAAACCTCGCCTCTCAGGGGCCTGGGGACTCACTCTCTGTCTTCTCCCTTCTCTGCTGTTCAGAGTCATCTCCACGGGAATCTAAGAAAATGGAACCTCAAGTCTCAAGCCCTCTTTGCCATGTACTTGACACATACAATCTCATGTAGTCCTAAAAATAACCCTGTGAGTTAAGTATCAATGAAGTAAGTGTTCATTTTAATTGAGCCTTTGGGTTTGAGTGATTGGGTACAGCTCTCAGACCGGACACTCCTGGCTGGGAGGGGGTCCTGAGAAAGCTGAAAGTCTCCCTTGAAGTGTGTGGGTGGGAGTGGGGTGGGGAGGAGAAGTTTAGGAAGAGATTCTGATAAACTCTGTAACATGCTTGAGACCAGACACTTAACAGCAAGGCAAAGATTCAACTTCATTTTATAGGACTACTCTTCTTCCCAGACAAACCATTAAGTACAAAAGAATTCAATTTTCTGCTTTAAAAAAAACTCCCCCTTATTACCACAATCCATGTCTGACCAATTCCAAGAGCTTCCTCCCAAACTTGATACAAAAACATTGAAGTAATTATTGGAAAACAGAGCAACAGCATGTAGGAGGCCTACTCGGCCAAGGCTCTGGGAAAGGTGACAGAGTTCCTATTGGCAGGATGCCTGCCCTCCTTGCCAGGGCCCCTCACTCAGAACAACCTTCTCTAGGCCCTGGCATTAAAATGAGCAGCCACCTGTCTGGTAATCTTACAAGAACCTGTGACCGCCCTGTGCCAGACTGCCTGTGGATTAGAGGTCAAGGAGAGGTCCTAGGCAAAGTGTGCCAGGCTTCCCCCAGAGGTGAGGAATGTAAGCCCACCCACCAAGCTCCCTGCCTGTGCTGAAACAGAAGCTGTAGGTTCCTATCATCTGGATAAGATAACTGAGATGTGGTGTTAACTGGTTATATTTTAGCCCTCCACCCAGGGTACACACATTACACTGGTACAAACACCCTCAGCCTCTGAGAAGGCCTGGATAACTTGGGTTTGGGGAACCTACTCAGGCAGGAAACTGGGCAGGAGGGCCCCAGGAAAGAGATTGACACAGAGGAGGAACTGAGCTAAATAGTGACAATTTACTGAGGGCTTACCCTCATTACTGTAAACCCTTATTTACAATGTTTCACCTAATCTTCCAAAACAACCCCCTGAAATACGTACCACTTATTATCCCCACTTAACAGATGAGAGAGGTTTACAAAGTCACTTGCCCAAAAGCTCAGGAAAAACGTTAACCCACCCTCAGGGAGGTCAGATCCTTTTCCCACTGGAGGCCTCACCATCGGACTCCCAAACTGGAGTGGATTAATCTGAGCTGACTCTTAGTTCGTACCAACTTTAGCAGGGTGAAAGCTGCTGCAAGCACTAAGCACAAATTCCGAAACTTCTTGAGGCTTGGATCCGAGTAGGGAAGTCTCCAAGGCCTCCTCTAGTTCTGGGGCCAGGGGAACCTGCGGCTTCCCGGTACGGCCCCCGCCCCAGACTTCAACAAAGTTCCAAACGGACTCACCACCCAACCTCTCACCCCTATCCAGCCCGGAACCTCTGTTGGGGATGAGGGGCTCTGTTCCGGAATAGAGAAGCTAGCTGTTGTGGAACAGGGCATGGCATGGGCGAGCATCCGGGGGGCCCTGTCGAGGAAATCCGGGAAGTTCCTGAGTCCTTACCGAGCAGCGGGGACTCCTCGGGACATGCAGGCGGCGACCATGATGAGATCGAGGGCACTGAAGCCGAAGTCAAGTTCCTCGCGGGGCCGGGGCCGGGGCGGGAGTCCGCGTCCCGCCGGGAGTCGCGACCCGAGCGCGGCTCCGCGGAGGTGCCCAAAGGCGGCAACGCCGGGGCCCCTCGGGGCCGCAGCTCTCCCGAGGGCTGCCCGAGGGCGGCGACGCCGTTCGGGCCTCCCTGCAGCGGTGTGGGGACGCCAACCAGCTGGGGCAGGCGGCTCAGGTCGCGACCCGCCAGGTAGTAGACAAGAGTGACGCCGAGATGCAGAGCGCAGACAGCCACGAGCAGGCGGCAGGCCCGCTGGAGGGACGCACCCGGCATCGCGGTGCTGCCGCCCAGCAGCGGCTCCCGAAACCTCATCTTCCCGCCGCCGCTTTAAGAGGCGGGTGGGCTACAGTGGGGAGGGCGGCCCGCCCGCGGGCCGCCGGCCAGGATACCCGACCACGGCAACTGGGGGAGGAGCTGGACGGGAGGCGAGCGAGCGCTGCGCCGGCGGAACGCGGAAACCCGGCCGGCGCGACCGCCGAGCGACCAGAAGCGCGCCCGAGGCGCGGGCGGGAGCGGGGCGGGGCGGGGCCGCCCGAAGGAGCGGGGTTTTCTGGACCGGAGCGGGAGGGCGGGGCCGTCGGGGGGCGGGGACTCGGGGGTGGGCTGCCCGGCGCTGAGCCGCTGCCCGGAGCCACCGGCGGGCCTTCCGCTGCGCGCCGCCTTCCTTCCGAGCCTTCACCGTGTGGCTTCGGTTAGCCACGCGCGCCTCCTGCTCCTACGAGCTGTCCTCGAGAGGCGCCACCACTTCCAGCCGTGCTGAAAGGCCGGATACGGGCCTGGGCCTAAGCGCGTTGGCAAAGAGGGCGCAAGAGACAGCAGGCTCTGCTCGAGGTCTTGAGGGCTGGGGGTTGCGGCGGCTTTCCAGCCGGTAGGCCTCGGTAGGTCTTGGGGGGTCAGGAGGTGGGGCGGAGAAAGGCTGCCCAAGAAACGGGCCTCGACGCCCTGCGGGATTTGGAACATTGAGAACCTCCTCCTATGGCTGGGCTAGGCCCTTCTACCGCTGTGGGGGCCCAGCAAGGAGGCGTGGCTCACCCAGCATCCGGCAGAGGAGAAAGTAGACCAGCCTCCACTTCTCCCGCCCAGTCCTAGAGCCCAGGCTAGGGGATCTCGGGCTGCTCAGCTGGTTTTGGGTGTGGGTGCCTCTGTTAATGGATGTAAGATAGGCAGTTGAATATGAGCCTGGAGTTGTAGGCTGGAGACAGAAATTTTGCAGTAATCAGCACCAAAATAGGATAAATCTGCCCTAGAGAGTAGGATAGGCAGGTGTGAGCTCATGGACCATGTCCTGGGGCCTTCAGCAACTGGGGAAGAGGAAAAGCCCACAGAGACAGAAGAGTGGCCAGTGAAGTGAGGAAGATCAGGGAAATCGTGTCCAGGAAGCCAAGTAAAGAAAGTAGATTCTATATGATCACAACCAAGTGTTAACTCCAGAGCCTGTCTTCTCATCTGTAAAATGGAGGCAGTAACAACTGCCTACCTCACATGTTTAGGATTGAGACAGTGTATATAAACACAGGCTTATGTCTGGAGGAAGATCAGGGAAATCGTGTCCAGGAAGCCAAGTAAAGAAAGTAGATTCTATATGATCACAACCAAGTGTTAACTCCAGGGCCTGTCTTCTCATCTGTAAAATGGAGGCATTAACAACTGCCTACCTCACATGTTAGGATTGAGACAGTGTATATAAACACAGGCTTATGTCTGAAATATCCTAGCCCTGCCAGGATACACGCTTTGAGTAGGACAGTGGCAGTGACCCTCAGTAACTCCCACGAGGTCATGCAGTAGGGAAGCAGCCAGCCTTGTTTACAGTTTACATGGGTCTGGACACAATCTCTTGAAGCAGGGATTTTCCCCATTTAACAGTTAAAAGTTCAAAGCTCAGGAAGCTTGCCAGAGACCCATGGCTGGTGAGAGGCAGAGGCAGAATTCTGGCAAAACTTTTATTTACTATATATATATATACCCCTTTTTGAATTGCGAGTAAGGGCTGGAGGCTATATGAGTGAGAGGTTGGTTCAAATTTGGCCCACAGGCTACTGCATAGGCCCCCCTGATGCCTAAGGGAGCAGGGGCACCTCACCTCTGAGAAGGCTTCATGGAGGTGCTGTCATTTATGGATAGGGGAAGCTGAGGGGCCTGGCAGCCAATCTGAAGTGAAGGGGATGCTAACAATAGCTACCATAGATTGAGAGTTTCCTGTATGCTTGCCAGACATAAGCCTAACTGTGTTTATATACAGTCACAGCCCTAACAAGTGAGGGAGGCAGTTGTTACAGCCTCCATTTTACAGATGAGAAAACGGGCTCCAGAGCTGACACTTGGTTGTAATCATACAGATTATCCTGATCTTCCTCACTGCACTGGCCACTACTTGGTCTCCTCTGTGGCTTTTCCTCTTCCCCAGTTGTTGAAGGCCCCAGGGCATAGTCCATGAGTTCTTACCTGTCTATCCTGACTCCCTAGGAGTAATTTCTACTGTGTGCTGATTACTGCAAAATTTCGATCTCCAGCCTACACCTCCAGGCTCAGATTCAACTGCCTATCTCATATGCATCTCAAACTTAATACATCATGCCTCACACAGCTGATAACCCTATACTCTACTCTCATTCTTTTTAATTGAAGTATAGTTGATATACATTCTCATATTAGTTTCAAGTACACAGCACAGTGGTTCACCAGTTACTCACATCATTAAATCCTTACCCCAGCTAGTACAGTTACTATCTGTCAATGTAGAAAGATGTTACAGAATCATTGGCTATATTCTCTGTACTGTACTACCATCCCATCAACTTATGATTGACTCCACTCAAATTCTTAACCCACCTCAGAGAATGCCACCACTGTTCATCCAGTAAACAAGGCCCAAAACCTAAAAGATGTCCTCGAGGTGCTGCTCTTATCAATGTCAATCCCTCAGCATTACCTTCAAGTCATCAGAATTACCCACTCTCTAACTACTGTAACCATCCTGAACCAAGCCACCATCATCTTGGCTTGGGTTATATGGTAGCCTCCTAATTGGTCACCCTGCTTCTACCTCTTCCACTCCTCTTCCCTGGTCCATTCTCCAAACAGCTGTGTAGAGACCTTTGTAAGCATAAATCAGATCATTTCATTTTATTCAGAATAAAATCCAAATCTATAGAAACCCTATCTAATCTATTCCCATCTCTCCCACTCTCATCTCCTATCTCTCTCACCATGCTTTACCTGCTTTAGCCACACTAACCTAATTGCTATTTCTTGAACTTGTCCTGTTTCTTCCTGCCTCAGGGCCTTTGTACTTGCTGTTCACTTAGCCTGAATACTTTCCCCCATATTTCATTCAGCTCTCTCAAATGTTACCTTGTGAGAGAAGTCTTCTTAGACTACCCTGTGTAAAACAGTCCCCCACCCAAGTCTGCTTAATCAGCTTGATTTTTTTCAGAGCAGTTATCACTGCCCAACATTATACATTTATTTATTGTTGCTTGTCTCCCTCATTAGAAGATCAGCTCCATGAGTGCAGGAACTTTCTCTCTTGTTCACTACTATATCTTCATCTCCTAGAACTGAACCTGGCATAGTCAGCACTGAATAAATATTTGTTAAAATACCTGTTAAGTGAATGTTTATGATCATCTGGATAATGTGGGGAAGGGAGAGGTGGGAGAACTACTGCTAAGTTATTTTAAACACAAAAGAGTTATTCACCAGGGAGTTGGTGAGGGTGAAGATCACCTCAATAGCCTATGCCTCTAAAGAAAAATGCCTGGCCAATGTTTGAGGATAGGTCAGAGTAGTTCCCTATTTGAAAAATGAGCAGGGTGGGGAATGGAGATGTGTTTTCCATGTGCCCAGATAATGGTCAGGAGACAGGACTGAGAGGTGGTTAGGGGTCACACACCTATCCCAGGAAGCAAGGAAAGGAACAACACTTGCTCTCTGTCCCTTGGGAACGTGCAGAGTCCACTGAGGCTTGAACACCAGCCTCGTCAGCCTGTGATCCAGAGGTACCTAGAATCAGTAAATTTCTTGCTTCAGAAAAGTCCAGAAGGTCAGGACAACATTGTCCATCTGTCCAAACATGAACTGGTGTTAGAGACAGAAAGACCCCAGGCAACATTTTCCAGCTCTTTCCACTCTTAACTTTGTCAGATGAAAAATTAATCCCATTTTAGTCAACTGGAGGAGGAAGCTGCACTGCTGACTAGCAAAAACCGGAATCTGGGTTTTGTAGTTTGCCCATCCAGTGCTGATCTGCCCAGAATCACCTAGCTCTCTGTTTCTCCCTGCAGGCTGCTGTCAGCTCGTTAGTGACTCCCTCTACCCTCTCACAGTGCCCTGATCTGCACCTGTCAGCTTACATTTCAGTTTCACCCTAGCAGATCACAAGGACGTAAAATAGCACCTGGCACATGGGAGACTGTTACCTATTTCTGCATAACACACCACCACCAAACTTACTGTCTTTAACTATTTCTTTCTCACAGTTGTGTAGGTTGATGGCTTCACAGGGTGTCAGCGGAGCACTGGCCCAGCTGGAAGTTCCAAAATGGCCTCATTCACATGACTGGCAGTTGGTGCCGGCTGGGGCTGGGGCAGAATGGATCACAGGTCAGAAGCCTTGATCTTCTCCACGTGGACCTCGCTACAAAAGCCCCTCACACACTGGAGGGTATATTCCAGGAAGGAGCATTTCAAGAACAAGGTAAGAAGATGAAGATCTCTTAAGGTCCTAAGTGTCATTTAAGTGTGACATTTTAGTTAAAACAAGTTACAGGACAGACCAGATTCAAAGGGAATAGAAAGAAACTCCACCTCTTGATGACAGGAGGGTAAAGAATTGGTAGCCATCTTTTTAAATCTGCCATAGTTTCCCCAGTGGCCATAAAATAAGATTCCTCCCACATGTAAAATATATTAGTCTCCTCCCAAGATCCCCCAAAGGCTCATTCCATCATGACTTCAGTCTCAGACTCCAGGTCCAGGACCTCATCATCTAATCAGCTCCCAGTATAATTCCTCAAGGTCAGAGACCTATGAACTCTAAAACAAGTTACCTTCTTTCTCTTTCTGTTCTTCTTCCCAAGCAATTCAGTCCAAAAGCTGTAGGTAGGGATGAGCAAGGTGGGAGTCCAAATGGCACAGAGAGTGTGTCTAAGCCCAGTCAAATGAGGAAAGAGGTTGGGTGAGAGGTGAAGAGGGGAGGCACCCAGCCCAGGTATCAAAGCCCAAGCAGAGTCGGGAGGACATCCACTGGGTGTTAGGATGTTAGGGGTTTCTGTGAAGGAGGGCAGCCCAGGGCAAGGTGGTGAAACCCAAGTGGGATGAGGAGATCGTTAAATACAGGGAGACTGATTAAAAGCAACTGTATATAATGAGAATATATATATATTGAGTCACCCAAATTTCTGTCAGAAAATGGTTACAAATATACAGGGAGAAAACTAAAATGAATTTTTGATACTTTATTGAAGTTGGAGAAATCAATGTGAATTCATGGTTTTCAATATAAATACAGGTAATGAAATAAGTATAGGGGTGTGTTTGTGTGTGTGTGTGTATTTTATATGTAAATATGAATGAATATCTTGGAGAAGGCATGGGAGTATAAACTTCTCAATGGTAATGAGCATATCTAGCACCAAAATCTGGGTTTCTGAACACCATTTTCCAACAAAAGGAACTAAGTATTCTTGGAGAAAAGGCTGATTTCAGGGATGAACCAGAAATACTACAAGGTGATCCTGGAAAATCTTGTGCCAGAAGGTACGAAAGAGCTCAAAAAATGATGAGGCTATGTCAAAAGAATACAGAAATAAGTTTGATGGAGTCCCCACTGGCCACATCTCGAATGAAAGTAAATATTGATAGGAACAGCTTACAACCAATTGAACAAAATAAGAAACCATGAGTTTATACTGATATAAATAAATTAAACTTTGATGAGTAACAAGGTATTTACATAATTTCCAAGTACCTCTCCCACAAAATACTTGTAGTTTCAATGGGAAACATTAGAGAAATCCAAATTTGGAAACATTTTACAAAATAACCACCCAGAAATCTTTAAAAAATGTCGAGGTTATGATAGTCAAGAAAAGACTGAAGAACTGTTCACCACTGAAGGAGGCTAAAGAGACACCGAAAACCAAATGCAGTATCATGATTTTGAACGGATTCTTCTGCTTTAAAGAGTGTTTTGGGGCCGACCAGTGAAACTTGAATGGAGTCTAAAGATAAGGTGATGATAATGTATCAACATCAGTTTCCTGATTTTGATGGTTATATTGTGGTTATATTAGAAATATGCATATTATATTTGGGTACCCCAAATACACCTAGGGTACCATGTCAGAAACTTACTTTCAAATGGTCCAAAGAAGTATTTGTACTAATCTTGCAACTTTTCTATAAGTTGTCTTTCCCCTACACATCCAGCATACAGTGGGAAGACAGAGACAGGAAAATTACAATGGACAGTCCCACTTAGGGGGTATTAAAAGGCATGTAACAGTCACTGGTCTCTAGGAAATCTAAGATCCAGTCATGCACTTGTCACCAATTCCCCCTGCCCCAGAAGCAGAGAATGTGAATTCTCTGTGGCTCTTACCTCTACCTTTTTGGGCTCTAAGTTCCATCCTCTGAGTCATTCCTCCTTTTTCGTAAGAAATAGCCCTCGTTTGCAGCAAAGCAACTTATTCAGGCTGCTTCACTGGGTGCCCAGTGTCCCAATTTCATTTTGAACTGTTTTTTTGTCTATTTTACTCTAAGCAGGTGATATTTATGCTAGTACAGTTCTCTTAGGGGGGAAAAATGTTTCCCATGAACATTACTGAGTTTCACTCCATTAGATAAAAAGCACACCCTTAGATTGTAAGATAAGCCCCTACATTCTTTAGTCTGTGAGTCAGGGTGCTGTGGGACAAACCCTTCAAATTCTTAGGAGCACTTTTGTCCAGCCGAGAGTTCTAAGAGGCACTGATGAAATCTTTCAGAGATATTAAAGAGTCATAGAGATCAGTGACATCCTTGCCCCTTGGCCAAATTTTACTGGCAGAGTCCTGTAATTAATCTTTCCCTCTAAGTTTTAGTTTACTTTGAGTATCTTTGGGAGCTGTAGAGACTGTCTGGGCTCTCTGTAGTTCCTCTGAATTCTGCATAAAACAAGAATTTCTTCTTCCTGTACGTTTTCATAAGCAGCTAAAGGGAGTCATTTGGAACTTTGAACATTTTGCCTGGAAATCTCTAGAAAGACTGAACGTTCACTTGATATATTTTGTCTCATCCATGTTACCAATATGTAATTTATCCCTAGTATCCTACAGTAACAATTTCCTTACTGGACTTGCAACTTACTTACCACTCCTAAGAAATCTGTAAACTTTCTAGTTTCAAAGTCAGTGCTATGTTTTAGGTTTTTCTTACAGAAGCACCCTATTTCCAGGTGCCAATTTCCATTTCAGTTATAAATTGCAAGGGTTGACAAACCAGGTTCCATGGGCCAAACTCAGCCCACTACCTGCTTTTGTAAATAAAATTGATGACAATTCAGCCATTCTCATATGTTTACCTATTGCCTGTGTTTGCTTTTGTGCTATAATAGCAGAGTACTGCAGTAGAGACCATATCACCTGTAAAACCTAAAATATTCACTATCTGATCTCTTCCAGAAATAGTTTGCCAACCCCTGCCATTCAAAAACTACTCTGAAATGAGTTTCTTAAAAAAATTTATTATTTCTTAAAATTCTGTGTATTAACCAGGTGGCTTTCTGCTTCATATAGTGTTGGCTGGGTAAGAGAATGTCTGGAAGACACAGATGGCCTCACTCATATGGCTCAAAGTTACTGCTGGTTGCTGGCTGAAAGTTTAGGTGAAATTGTTAGCCAAGGGTCCCAGTTCTCCAAGTGGGCCTCTCTACTTGGTTGCTTTGATTTCCTTACAGGATGGTAGCTGGATTCTAGGAGGAGTATATTCCAAATGTATAGGAGGGAGTGGAAGATCTCTTAAGGCCAAGTCTTGGAAGTTATACAGTGATACATCTGCCACATTCTGTTGGTCAGAACAAGTCACAGGGCCAGCCCAGATTCAAAAGGAGGGGAACAGACTTCACCTACTGATGAGAGATGTTGTAAAGAATTTGTAGCCATCTTTAATCCATCACAACACAATTAAATTACTTGTTAGTATGCTACTCCCCCTCAGGTTGTTCTAAGTACCCAGCTGGACTTCTTCCCATGACCTAAAGTGAGGTCACCTTCCCCCTCTCACCTCTTTCCCCCAGTCTGCACAAAGTGTCTCTCACACTGGGATTAGGCCCCACATAGTAACCATGGTCATCCATTCCAAGCAACATCTATACCTAGGACAGGATATGCCCACAATCTTTTGGGATGGGTTCTTTGCCTCAAGTGCTACTTTCTCAGATCCTAGAAAAACCAACAGAAGCCTGAGAATTTCTTTCAGTGCTATATCTGAAAATCTGTTAGAATAGAAAATCAAAGCAATCAAGTAGAGAGGCCCACTTGGAGAACTGGGACCCTTGGCTAACAATTTCACCTAAGCTTCCAGCCAGCAACCAGCAGTAACTTTGAGCCATATGAGTGAGGCCATCTGTGTCTTCCAGACATTCTCTTACCCAGCCAACACTATATGAAGCAGAAAGCCACCTGTGTCTTAGTTCTTGCCACAATAATGCTGCATAGCAAGTAACCACCAAACCTAAGTGCCATACAATAAAGCATGAATATCTCTCTCATGTGCCCATAGTTTGATTGGGGCAGCTCTGCTTAAGGCTGTAAGTCTGTAGGTTGCCAAGGTGGGTCTATTCCATGTGCCTCTATTCTTCTGTGATGCCTACCAAAGATATGTTTTTCACATGGTAAGGACAAAAGCACAAGATGGTTGAGTAAAAAAAAGCCGACACTTCTTAGGGACTATGCTTGGAATAGTCAGTTCTACTCACATTCTATGAGCGAAAGCAAATTGCTTGGCCAACCCAAGTGTATTCTGTCTATAATGGGAGGAACTTCAAAGTCACATGGCAAAGAGATCAGAAATAGGAAGTGGTGAACAATTGAGAATGAACAACCATCCATTCCCTTTTTTTTTTCTTGCTGGAACTAGGATGGTGGCTTTAAAACTATGTTCCAGAACAGCTCCAGATTTAATTCCTCTGGTCTCTCCTCCTTCCCAACCTACCCTATAGAGTTGGTTATATTTCAGAATTAGAGGGAATCTAGAAAGACACCAACCCTACCTTCACCCATTGAAGGTTTCCCACACACAGTGTATTCTCTGAAAGTTTGTCAAGGGGCACCCCTCCAGTGACAGGAATCTCACTGTATCATGAGGCAGCCTGCTTCTTTGTAGCTATCACTGACCCAACACTTAAGCCTTCTTCTGTCAAGCTAAAACTCACCAATTGCAGTGCTGCCAGCTCTGTTCCTTGGCACCACAAAGAATAAACTGAATCCTCATTCATTTAATGGTCTTTCAGTTATTTAAAGAGAGCAGACATGTGTTTCTCTCAACCTGAGGACAACTCCTCTCTAGGCTGACTAAAGCCTGTCATTTCTACTGTTCTTCATGCTTCATGGTTGCACTCTTTCTGTGTTCTGAACATTCTTCTTGACCAGGCTGCAGTCTGTTTCCTTCATAAAAGAGGAGTGCCTAGGACTGAATGTAGCATTCTAGCTGGCTCTG